CACACACACACACACACAACACATAGCCCTTTCCCTCCCTGCTACTCACAAATTCAAACACACACACACAGAGCCCTTTCCCTTGCCACTGCTCACAAATTCAAACACACACACACACAACACACAGCCCTTTCCCTCCCCGCTACTCACAAATTCAAACACACACACACACACACAGAGCCCTTTCCCTTGCCACTGCTCACAAATTCAAACACACACACACAACACACAGCCCTTTCCCTCCCCGCTACTCACAAATTCAAACACACACACACACACATACACACACACAGAGCCCTTTCCCTTGCCACTGCTCACAAATTCAAACACACACACACACACAACACAGCCCTTTCCCTCCCCTCTACTCACAAATTCAAACACACACACAGAGCCCTTTCCCTTGCCACTGCTCACAAATTCAAACACACACACAGAGCCCTTTCCCTTGCCACTGCTCACAAATTCAAACACACACACACACACACACATACAACACAGCCCTTTTTCTCCCCGCTACTCACAAATTCAAACACACATACACATTTCTTTGAAGTGGCTGTGTTTGGGGTCATTTGTTCCTCTGCAATGGTCATGCGTGGCCGGCTCCGTCAAGAAGATCTCTGGCAGGAAATGTGGCTCCCCGGTGGGCCTTGCAGGTCTGAGACCCTGGGTTCAATCCCCACGACCACACGGTTCCCTAAGCACCACCAGGAGAGACCCCCACCAAACTGGAAGTGGCCCCTGAACACGACTGCGTGAGACCCCTGCCACCAACCACCAAGGGAGCTGCTGGGGTCGCCTGCTCTGTAGCCGAGGGGAGGGAGGCGGGCAGAGCTGAGTAAGCACCCTGGGATCTGCGGATCTGTCTGACTTGGGGAAGGGGGTGGCGGCAGGCAGGCAGGCAGGCATGAGCCTGTGCGGGTGGGGCTATTCCTGCTGAAGAGCAGGGGCTCTAAGGGGGCCGAACCCCAAGTGGGTGTGATGGAGCAGGAGCAGCCTCGGAAACCGAGGGGCCCAGGAGAGCTGCCCCGAGGCAGCACCGCCAACAGAAGGAAGCAGGAATTGCAGTTAGCCACCGGCGCCAGTTCTAGAAACTTCCACTAAATTTAGAGCTGTGAAGGTGTGGACTCCCCAAGCCTGCAGAAGTCTGGGCATCTCTAGCCTCCGGTTTGAATAACCAATAGAGATGCAGAGGGGACAGTGCTGCTGCCTGATGTGACAGCCAGAACCTCAGTAACCCCAGGGGGCCCAGGATGCAGCTTTGCTTCTGTTTAGTTTGGGGGCTGCACCTCACGGTGCTCAGAGGGCCGTGTGGTGCTAAGGATCAAGCCCACAGCTCTAGCACTGACCAGTGGAGCTATTTCCCCAGGCTCCTTTATTTATTTTGGGGGGGGGTTGGGGTCACACCTGGCGATGCTCAGGAGTCACTCCTGGCTCTGCACTCAGGAATCACTCCTGGCAGTGCTCGGGGGACCATATGGGATGCTGGGAATCGAACCTGGTCGGCCGTGTGCAAGGCAAACGCTCTACCTGCTGTGCTATCGCTCCAGCCCCTCCCCAGGCTTCTTTGGAGAGGACAACCGGGTCAGAGGAGGCCACAGGGTGGCCCCTAACCTGCTATGATGACTGTCCTTAGAAGAAGAGATTCGCGGGGGCAGCAGAGAGATAACACAGGGGTAAGGTGCTAGCCTTGCACACAGTCAACTCTGGTTAGAATCTCAGCACCACAGAAGACTCCCCGAGCACTCTCAGGAGTCTTCCCTGAGCACAAAGCCAGAAGTAAGCCCTGAGCACCACTGGGTATAACTCCAAAAGGAAGGAGGGAGGGAGAGAGGGAGATAAATATATATATATATATATATAGAGAGAGAGAGAGAGAGAGAGAGAGAAACAGTTTAACAGCCTACAGCACATCCTTTGCAAGCAGGGGGACACATGGGCTTGATCCACAGCACCATGTGTCCTCCTGAGCACTGCCAGTAATGAGCACTGATCTGGGAGTATCTCTGGAGCACCAGTGGGAATGGCCTGGACAGAAGAACAGAAAAAGAAGGATAAAGGGAAGAAGGAAGAGGTGAAGGAGGAGGTGATAGATGAGGAGGAGGAAGGTAGATGAGGAGAAGGAAGAAGAGAAGAAGGGGACAGGAGGAGGACAAGGTGGGGAAGGAAAGGGAGGAGGAGGGGAGGTCAGTGCACAGACATAGCAGAGAAGCCGGGGCACTCCCAGGGAGAGGGTGGCTCCGACTCTCCGGGGTTCAGGCCCCAGAAGCCGGCCGGTCAGTGACTTGGTCCTGGCCTTGCAGCGTCCACCTCTCGGGCCACTGCCCCAGCGGCCCCAGCCCAGCCGCGCACTCAGAAACTTACTTTCTGAAAATGGACTGCAGTGAGGGCACCTCGGATCTAAGGAAACCTTTCAAAGAGAATGACTTGGAATGGCCTGGAGAACCTCAGCTGGGAAGGGAAGCTCCCACCTCAACCCAGTTCCAGAACATTCCCATCGTCCCAGAGTCAGCACTGCTCCTCGAGAAGCAGTGCTCCCGGGGACCCTGGTGCATTTTCCTGGGGGCTGCCTGAACAAGCTGCTTGCTCAGCAGCTGCCTGGAGGCCCCGTGAGAATGAGGACCACCCCCCCCCCACCCACACACACGAGAGGAGGAGCTGCCTCTCTCCAAAGCTAAGTAATTTGGGCTGGAGCGATAGCACAGCAAGAAGGGCATTTACCTTGCACGCGGCCAGCCCGGGTTCGATTCCCAGCATCCCATATGGTCCCCCGAGCACCGCCAGGAGTAATTCCTGAGCCAGGAGTAGCCCCTGTGCATTGCTGGGTGTGACGCAAAAAGAAAAAAAAAAAAAGCTAAGTAACTTGCTCCAGCTAAACCGTAGGGTAGACAGGCCACCCCCAGATCGTGAGAAAACGCTTAGAGCCGACGACTAGCAATTCAGAGGGGTTGGAACCCAGCCTGACCCTGAAGCGGCTTCTGGGCTCAAGGGCCGAACACAGGCAGAACAAATGGTCATAAATTAGATAATGACGGGAAGGCAAGGTCCTGGGGGGAGCCTTTCCGAAGGTTGGGACCAGGGGAGGGAGGCCATCTGGAGAGGGGCGGCTCCAGGGAGGGAAGACGCTGGCATGAAACACAGGCTGGACAACAGGAGCAGGGAAGGGACAAGAGCCCCCCCAGGACCTAGGTAAATCTCGGCTTTTGGGGGGGGGGCTGGCCAAAGTAAGGAACGGCTGCAGAGATCAATGCGCCGGGCGGGGGAGGGAGGGACGGCTTGGTCCATTGCAGCCAAGTGAGGGACCCCGATCTATTCCCGAGAGGAACAGGGACCCTGGCTGACATCAAGGGGAATCCTGATGGCTCAGGGCATTCTGATTGTCAGGTGGGGCGGGGGGCACACTTTGTGGAGCCCCCGGGGATTCAGACGGGCTGTTCTTTACCTGTGTTTGCCCACAGTCACCCCAGTGGACCCTGAGCTCCTGCGAGGCACTGTCTGACTCCCCTCCAAACCGAATTCTTTTGTTTTTAAGTGTAGGCAACCCCCAAAGTGCCATCCACATGAGTGGGTGGGAACTTTCGGAGGGTCACAGCCAGGTTCTCCCTGGATCTAGACTCTGGTCCTGAGTTAGTGAGCCCAGACAGCTGGGCCAGATTGTTCCCCACTTTTTGCGGGGTGGGGGGGTTGGGCCACACCCAGCGATGCTCAGGGGGTACTCCTGGCTCTGCACTCAGGGATTACTCCTTGTTGTGAGATGCTGGGGCACAAACCTGGGTTCCTGGCATATAAACTCTCGCCGCCCCCGCATGCTGGGCTATCACTCTGGCCCCTGACCCCCACTTTGGAATGGGGAGAACTCTGGTATTTATCAGCCAGACTCAGAGAAGGGGTCCTTGCGGGAAAGGTTCTGTTCCTAAGCAACCAAATTCAAGACACAGTCTTAACAGAAGCTGGACCACAACTCAAGTGTGGGTGTACACAACCTTCCCTCCCTTAGCCCCCAACCAAAGGGACACGCCCTCCAGCTGCTGTCACATCAGGAAAATCAGGATTAGTTAGAGTTTAGTGCACCTTCCCCCACCAAAAAGGAAAGAGGGAAAAGCAAAGCTGTTACGAACCGTGATCGCTCAGCGCTAGCTGTGGCTGTGCCATTAGCTGTGGCTGTGCCATTATGAAGCTGCCCAGGTTGGGGAGAAGACAGGGGCTCTGCATGCCCCCCTCCCCCATCTCCCACTCGGTTAAGAGGTGGGGCCACTTGTGTCCTCCTAAATGCCCAGAAATCGATCTTGGCTGACTGATCTACTATGACTTAGTTCCCCAGATTGTCATGGCAACCTTGGGAAACGGTTCACAAGCTTGCTTTTCATTTCCAGAGGCATAAACAAGAAATGACCCGGGTCAGGTTAGTCTTGCAAAATAGACGAAATTAAGCTTGGTTTGATTAAACGGCTTTTGTCTGCCCAGAAAATCGTCCAAGTTCGCCTCCACTTTGGTTTTGATTTTTTTTTTTTAACGAACCCAGCTCGGCTGTCACTCAAGAACCGTTTCACAAATACACCGCAATCAACCGTGGGCCGCCTTCGGCCATCGCCCTAACAAAGGAAAGGGACGATAAATCTCTCTCTCTCTTTTATTTTTAAGTGGCTCTTACAGCACCAGCGTGCAGATCTGCAACCGTCAAGAGGATCTAAATGGGAATCTAGGGCCGAGGATTCGAATCAAATCCTCAGGAAAAAAAAACAAAACAGAAAAAAGCCCTCCCATCCGTTCCCGACTCTCGGGTTGAACACACCACGCAGTGATTTTCTTTCCCGCCCTCCCCCCCCCCCCCAACCCGGGCATTCCCAACTTCCCAGCCGGAGCCGCGCAGGGCGGAGGAGAGGCGGGGGAGGGGGGGTCGGGGGGGGCGGTGGTCCAGCGCCGCGGGCGTGGCCCGCGCAGGCCCCGCCCCTCCTCCGGCGCGATGGGCGTGGCCTGCGCGGCGGCGCGTGCGCGCGCGCGCGGCGGCCCCAGGTACGCGGACAAGATGGCGGCGGCAGCGGTCGACAGCGCGATGGAGGTGGTGCCCGCGCTGGCCGACGAGGCGGCGCCCGAGCCCGCGGGCCTCAGCTGCCTGGTCAGCCTGCCCGGCGAGGTGCTGGAGTACATCCTGTGCAGCGGCTCGCTCACGGCCGCCGACATCGGCCGCGTGTCCAGCACCTGCCGGCGGCTGCGCGAGCTGTGCCAGAGCAGCGGGAAGGTGTGGAAGGAGCAGTTCCGGCTGAGGTGAGCGCGGCGCGGGCCCCCGCGGACCCCCGGCCGCGGACCCCCGGCCGCGGCCCCCTCGCCCCACGCCGCAGACAAAGGCCCTCCGGGGCCGCCCGGCCGCGCCGACCCTCGGGGCGCCCCCGCCCGCCGCGCCGCTTTGTGCTGCTGGGCCCGGGCCGGGGCCGGGCCGGGCCGGGCCGGGCGGGGCGGGGCGGGGCGGCGGCCCCCCGGGTGGGCGGCGTGACCTTGGGAGGCGCGGCCGCCCCCCGGCCCGCGTCTCCTCCTCCTCCTCCTCCTCCTCCTCCGAGCGGTCCCCGGGCCCGGAGGATGCTGCCGCCCCGCCCCGCCCCCCGCCCGCCAGCCCGTCCGGCCGGCGCTGCCTTTGTTGCGGGCGCGGGCCGGGCCAGGCGGGCCCGGGTGGGCGGCGGGGCGCGGGGGCCAAGGTCACCCGGTGGGCGCGGCTCAGGGGGTGCGTGTGTCCCGCCCCGCCCGCAGGTGGCCGTCCCTGATGAAGCACTACAGCCCCACCGACTACGTCAATTGGCTGGAGGAGTATAAAGTTCGGCAGAAAGCGGGGCTCGAGGCGCGCAAGATCGTCGCCTCCTTCTCCAAGCGCTTCTTCTCCGAGCACGTAAGGCTGTGCCCGCGCGGGCCCTCCTGCTCCTGCTCCTGCTCCTCCTCCTCCTCCTCCTCCTCCTCCTCCTCCTCCTCCTCCTCCTCCTCCTCTTGCTCCTGCTCCTGCTCCTGCTCCTGCGCCCGTCCCCTCCCCCTCCGCCGCCCGTGGCTGGCCGCAAGAGTCATTGTGTCCTTTTTTCCCCCCTCCTCTCGGCGACAGAATGAAGCCATTTGTGCCCGCAGCCTCCCTTCCCTTCCCTTCCCTTCCCTTCGCGACGCGCGGCGGCGGCGGCCGGGGAGGGGGTGGGCTGCGGCGCAGGGGGGGGCGCCGCCACCGCAGCCTTGGGGGGCCCCTGGGCGCCCCGCCTGGCCTGGGAGGGGCTGGCAGGGGCCGGGCCTGGGTGTGCGCAGAGCTGGGCGGGTGGGCGGGAGTATGGGGATACCCGGCGGCGCCCCCAGTTGTTGCCCGCCCCCTCCCCCACCAGCCGGGTTCTTCACCTGGCGTTGCGCATTTGTTAGGGTAACTTGGAAGGTTCAAGACACGCTTTCGGGATCCGCTTTATTTGTTAGGGTTGAAGGCTGAGTTATTGTGGTGGGGGGCCACACCCGGCGGCGGTGCTCAGGGAGCACTCCTGGCTCTGGGCTTTGGGGGGACCATCGCGGGTGCGGGGGGGATTGAGACCTGCTGGGCCAGTGCCAGGCCAGCGACCTCCCCCTCCTGGGCCGCTGTGGCTTCCCAATCAGATTGTCCCTGTTGGCTGCTCCTGATGGGGATGGGGGTGGGGGTGGGTTTCTTTCTTTTTTAAATGTTGGCTGAAATGCAGGGGGCTTGGGTGTGCTGCTTGGTGTTCCTTGCAGGGAGAAGTTTCTGTAGTAGGTTGTGAGACTTGAAGTACTGCTGTGAACTCTGGAAAGATCCCCTGCTCCTAGTTGGCGGTTGTTGTTGTTGTTGCTTTTTTGTCTGGGGGCCACGCCCAGCATGCACTAGACCCAGCCCGGTGCTGGGGGTGGAACACGGAGGCACCTATGAACCCTGCGTTTGGCTAGGCTGTTGTGTATGTTTCCCCCCCCCCTCTGGCCCCATACCAATTTTAATATTTTTTGATGAAACCCAGGGCTTTATACATGAAAACATGCGCTCGGCCACTAGATTACCTCCCCAGCCTTTAAGTTAAATTTATTTGATGGAGGTCTAGAAAACAGACCCTCTGATTTGATTTAATGGAGATTCTGTCTTATCGAATACTTACAATTAATGGAGTCAGTCATTTGAAACGTTTTTTAGAGGCTTTTTTTCTTTTAGTTTCAAAAGGGGAAATTTGAACATTGAACAAATTTGAACCTATTCCTCTATGGAGAACAAAAATAGATCATTCCTTTGTATAATTCATTTCTACAAATAAATTTTTTGGAGGGCCACACCCGGCAGTGCTCAGGGCTTACTCATAGCTCTTTATTCGTGGATCACTCCTGGCGGGCTCAGGGGACCATCTGGGGTGCCAGGGGTTGAACCCAGATCAGCCACGTGCAAGGCAAGAGCATTAACTGGCCGTACAAATAAATTTTAATGTAAGAATGAACCTCTGGATAGAATAAACTGTAAACCAACTAAAAGCAATCATAGTCACGAGATTCAGATACTGGCGTAAATGTCGTTGCACACACATATTTTAGTCGTTTTGTTTTGGGGCCTGCCATACGTGACGATGCTCAGGGGTTCCTCCTGGCTCTGCACTCAGGAATTACTCCTGGCGATGCTGGGGGACCCCACGGACTGATGCCCTCCCTGCTGGACTGTCTCTCTGGCGCCATATAGTTCAGCCTTTGTTGTGTTTGATGCTCTTGGGTTTTGCTTCATGATTGCGGCCTCTGCTTGTAGCCTAGGGTTTTTACACATTCATAATGGCCTCTATCGAATAGTGGTGAATTTGTGTGTGTGTGTGTGTGTGTGTGTGTGTGTGTGTGTTTTCCCTTTGTTTCTTCCATCCTGAACTACTGTGTCCAGGACGTTGGATAGACCAGGAGTCTGCTTGAGATTGATTTGTGGGTGGGCGATTCCTTCAGTCATCTGAAGGCTGATTGGTGCATGGCTGATTCCCTTGTGCTCCTGTGGGCTCTGCGTCCTCACAGGTTGGCATAAAATTTTCCTGTCTACTTTTAAAGAAAAATGGGGGAAGTGATACATTTTCAGTGGAGGTGTTGAGTGTCCCTACGGTTTCCAATGGCAGAAGGGAAAAACTGCGCAGGCGCTGAGTTGCCCGAACCCTGGGCCAGCCTCTCGTAGTCGTGGGCCACAACGGCGTGGAAACGGCCTCTGTGGATTAGTAGGAAAGCTGGCAGGGCCCACTCTGCCTTCAGAGAGGCTGCCTGCCCCGGGAGTGTCAGTCTGTGGAAATGGGACAGCGAGATCCCAACAAAACGTCCTGCGTGTCGCCTGCCCCCTGTGGTGTGGACGGTGGCGCTGGGCAGTGAAGGGGCACCCTCGCGCCGGGGGGCCTGGAGGAGTTGCAGCAGCGTCCTGCCGGCCTTGTGACTGAAGTGTGTGTCTCTGTCCACCCCGTAGGTCCCTTGTAACGGTTTTAGTGACATTGAGAATCTTGAGGGACCAGAGATATTTTTTGAGGATGAACTGGTATGCATCCTGAATATGGAAGGAAGGTAAGTCAGTTTATTAGAGATTGCTTTTATTTCTTTTAATCATGGCTCTAGAATTAATTGCTGTTGTTTGTGTGTAAGCTGAGTGCTGGGACACGTGTTTCCAAATAATTTGTCTTGTCATAGTTTTGAAAAAATCTGTAGATGGTAAGGGAAATATAAGTGATATGTGAGATAGGTTGAGACCTAAAGAAGGCTTGCAGAAAATTGCTTTGGAAAGAAAAGAGAATTAGTATTTAAATATGCAGTGGGTCAGATCTGTGCTTGATGTAACTCTGTGTCATCGATAATAAAAATGACCCTTTATATTCACCTCTCTGCCCACCATCACCAGATTTATCTGTCGGAAATTCAATTTTATAAAATCTTTTTTCTTAAATATGTCTTAATGGATGAGTTTCTCAGAACTGGTACCAAAAGAATAATATTTTGGTCATGAGCATTAAAAGTACTTGAATATTCCGATCAAGAGAAATCCACTATCTCTTGGTTATTGCTTAAAATTTGTTATGTCATATCTTTTGCCGGGAAAGGTAATTTCTTCTTATCAAAAGATAACATCCAGCTTAATTTCATCTGTTACATTTTTCTGCTCTGAGCTGAAGAGATCGTACACCTGGTAAGGCGCTTGCCTTGCACGTGGTTGATCTGGGCTCAATCCCCAGCATCCCTTATGAACCCCTGAGCATCACCGAGCGTGACCCAAAGACAAAAAAGAGTTTCTGCTCTGAAAGTTCTGGAAACTTTACTAGTGGTGGGAGTAAGGCTGCTGTCAGTTCCTTATCTCCTTAGGAGAGATTATTGTGAAATGAGTTACAAATAAGACATAAGATACTTTCTTTCCTTAATGAGGTTTAAGGGAGACATGCTTAAGTATGTCACTGAAACTCAACTGTAGGGCGAAGTAAGATGTGTCTCTATTCTTGGCCTTGGATGAGTTCAGATGTAGACAGGTCATTTTTCTGTTTCTATTTTGGTTTATTTATAAATGAATTGAAGTATGATCTAATAGTCAGTATTGTGTAGCCTTAAAAATAAAAGCTGACCTGTCTTACGTGCACGTATTTTCTAAGTGCATAAAGGTGCCGTTGGACACGCTGTGTTTATTGGTTTTGATTTGATCCTTGCAGATGGTGCTTTTGCTATCTGTCCCTGCTCTTTCCGTTCTGTCGGCCTTCCCTGATCCCGCTCCTGGAATTAGCGGTGACATTTAGCTTATATCCTTCCATGCGAATATATGCTGAAACATTTGGAGATGAAGGCGGATCATGATTATTTTTTAAGTCAGCCATGTTTAATCAGAAGTTTTAGCCCCTTAACCTCCAAGTGGCAGATCCATATTTTATGAAATGTTACAAAATAGGTACTTTTGAGATCTTCACTCTAGGTGTAGCAGTGACGGGGGCGCAGGGAAAGAGGACAGGTTTAAGGTGCTTGTACTTTGCTCAACGGCTGGTCCCAGTTGGGTCCTGGTCCCTTGAGTATTGAGCATTGGTGGGTGCAGCCCTGTGGGCCCCTGAGCCACACCTGGTGGTCTGGTGTTCCGAGCACCGTGGGGCTAACCAGTACTGCATCCCTGGCCCTTGCTCTGAATAGACAGCCCTCCCACACACACTCCAGACCCGGTAGGCCACCCCTGAAAGAGAATTCCTGCCCTGATTATTGATTGAAAAGTCGGATTCACTTTTGAAAACGATTGCATACTATATTATAGTATTTACTATAACCGTCCGTCTGCATACAGATGGGTAACCACTGTCTTCTACATTTTTTTTTGGTTACTGTGAAGTAACTAAACGTGATGTTTCTAGGGAGTTTGTTTCCAAGTAATCAAGTCCTAGGAATAGGGTTTCTGGGCATGACTGTAGAACCTGATTGAAAAGCTAAGTAAGATACATGCCCTTCAGTGGGAAGACTTAGTCCTTCTAAGGCTAACACAGGAGCCCGGTTGTATTCCACGAGGATCCTGGGGGCTTAGGAAGAGGAGACTTGGTGATGTTCCTGTTCGTCGTTGTGCTCTAGTAGGCAGTGCCGAGGGCTCCTCCTGTCTTGGTGCCTGGGGACCGTGTGGTGCTGGGAATTGAACCCAGGCCTGGCATGTGCAAAGAGCAAGTGCTCCACACCCGGCCAGGCTCGGACTCTTGCTGCTTTGTGCTCTAGAGTGCCTCCTGGCACTGCTCATGGTAACAGGGCTGGAACTGGGGGGCTGGCAGGTTGCAGGATGAGTGCCTCCCCCCTGTGCTCTCTTGGGCCCCTTGGTGTTTTAATTGGATAATACTGTCATAAAGTACGTGCAGAAGAGGAAACTCTTAACAGATGCTCGATTTTTTTTTTCTTTTTTGGGTCATATCTGGCGATGCATAGGGGTTACTGTAACCTGGCTCTGCACTCAGGAATTACTCCTGGAGGTGAACCTGGGTCGGCCGCATGCAAGGCAAATGCCCTACCCGCTGTGCTGTCACTCCAGCCCCTCAATATTTTAAAAAAAATTATTATCATAGGAAAAAATACTGTATTACAAATCTACAACCTAGGGCCAGAGTTCCCAGATATTGGGCCTGCTGCCACCTTTTGGAAAACCTTTTCCCCCAAAATACCACATAGCATGCGCTGAGACCTGTCTTCTCTGTGCTGCAGTCACAGTGTCTCTGTGGAGCCTAGGTTGGGTCCCCAGCACCAAGTGAACCCCCGAGTTCCTCAGGGAGCAACTGCGTGTGATCCCAAACAAATAAGAAAGTGACATACGCCCCTCCCCATTGCCCTTGAGACTGCTGCAGCCCCTCCCTCACCCCAGCTTCCTGGGAGGTGGGTGGTGTCTGACCCTTTTTGGGAAACACTGATCTAGGCTGAACCTTATTACCCACGACTGGTCTGGCAAAAGCAGGAAAAGGATGCAGACAGCTTTCTTCTTTCTGAGCAAAGAAATCATAGTAGAATTCTTTCTCTCTCTAAGAAAAAATGGAAACGTAGAAAAAGGATCAGAAGAAGCCATTCACCTGTGGGCAGATCCAAGTGGCATCGATCCTGTTTCAGAGACCTTTAAAATCCACTTCAGGGGCTGGAGCAATAGCACAGCGGGTAGGGTATTTGCCTTGCACATGGCCAACCCGGGTTTGAGTCCCAGCATCCCATATGGTCCCCTGAGCACCGCCAGGGGTGATTCCTGAGTGCAGAAGGAGCCCCTGTGCATCGCTAGGTGTGACCCAAAAAGCAAAAAAAAAAAAAAAAAAAAATCCACTTCAGGAAAAGATTAAGGTGCCAGGGTTGTGGCTTGGCCGTAGAGTTCATACCTCATACGTGTGAGACCCTGCAATGCCACACAAAAATAGCAGTGCCTACTGCCTCTGTTTATTGAAGGGGGAGAGAGCATGCACGGCCCATTAAGACGTAGGTCAGTGGAATCAGTTCAGAGATAAATGTCATTAATATGTAACTACTGGCCTGCTATTTTGGACCTAAAACAGGTTTTGGGTTTTCGTTATTGTTGTTGTTTTTAGTTTGTTTTTTTGTTTGTTTTTAGGCTGTTTTTGTTTTCACAAAAAGAATATTCTTTTTGTGAAACAAGATAGTTTTTTTTTCTTTTTTGGGGTCACACCTGGCGATGCACAGGGGTTACTCCTGGCTCTGCACTGAAGAATTAATCCTGGCAGTGCTCGGGGGACCCTTTGGGATGCTGGGAATCAAACCCGGGTGAGCCGCATGCAAGGCAAAAGCCCTGCCTGCTGTGCTATCGCTCTAGCCTGGATTTTATTGAACAACAACTTGCTTAGAAATATGTCAGAGGAGAAAAGGAGGAGAAATATGTGTTCAAGAGAACATAAGCTTCTCCAGAGTAGAAATACAGAGTCGGGCATAGAAAAGTAGAGATAAGGAAGTGAAATACGCATTCAAGGGAGAACACAGGCTTGGGAGCCAAATAAGGAATATTCTTGCTTAATTTTTTAAAAAATAGCTCTTTCGCAGTCCCTTTGTTTTTAGATTGTTGTGGGGGCCCTCCATGGCAGTGATAAGAGGTATGGGGAATCAGGCCCATTACAAGGGAACCCTCTCTCGCCCACATGAGAGATGATGTCTTAGAAGGGCCCGTGCTGTGCTGAAGACAGACTCTGTGGCCAACAGTGAAATGGGTTTCAGCAGTGGGAATTAGAGACAGAAGTCCTTGGGGGCCTTTGAGCAGAAAGGATGTGGGGAACTTGCAGAGGTCACAGAGACAAACAGCAGGTAGGACTGATCCCCAGCATCCCATATGGTCCCCCCAAGCACTGCCTGGAGTGATCCCTGAGTGCAGAGCCAGGGGTCAGCCTGAGCACCGCCTGGATATGGCCCAAAGACAAAAACAAGCAAAAGATTAGGAAACTTTTAAGAGAGAGAAAAATCAGAATATCAGAAGACTTTTCAGCAGCAAAGCCCTATGCCAGAGGCAGTGGAAAAGTATAGTTTGAAGATGCTCAGAGATCGCAAATGTTCAGCCAAGAATTTTTGCTTCCCCCTGAACTGAGCCCCAGGTGTCAAGGCTGTAGACAGACAGACTTATCTTTGAGCTCGCAGATGAATGCCGAACAGTCACCCGGACACTGGCATGGGATTTGAGGTGCATCTTGAAGAAGTGTTTGCTCATTTGGTGAAATCCAGAGGGCAGTTGATAAGGGAGAAAGGATTGTGTGATGTCCGAACCCTGATGGTGCAGGCACAGAGCACTGTTGAAAATGAGCAGGGGAGCTTGCCTGGCACGTGGCCCACCTGGGTTCCATTCCAGGCACTGTCTATGGCCCCCTGAGTCTGCCAGTAGTGACCCCTGAGCACAGAGCTAAGAGTAAGCCCTGAGCACTGCCAGGTGTGGCCCAAACCCAAGCGAGTGGAGAGCTACGTGAGCTGTCAGTTGTTCGTGGTCTTCAAGATGATGAGAACGCTGGTCTCCTTACTGGTCTGTAGCATGTGTGGTTGGGCTTTATGTGACTTTGGAGAAGCGTGTGCAGTCAGGTGGCGCCTAGGTCCAGGTCTACTGGAATGATGGGCTGGACACAGGGATGACAGGGAGGGGAAGCAAGGGGCTCCCAGTCAAGTCAGAACTATAGGAGCAGTAGGAGGGGCCGGGACTATGGGACCGGGAGTCCAGGCGGGGAAGCCTGTCTGCAGGACGAAGTGGGCGCTGCGGGTCTGAGTCCCCGCGAGGCCCAGGGGTGCGTGGGAGGCCAGTAGAGCTCCAGCACGGGCGAGGCCACTGGCCGGGATCGTCTTTCCCCCAGAGACCCCATCAGCACCCCTAACTTTTCAGATTGCTGTGAATTTCCCTTTCAGACGTCTGACGCTAACTAAGCACATACTGTTTCTTGAATTTCACTCCGAGTCATTTAATGTCTCGTTACTGCCGCAGAGTCCTAAACTGTGTTGTTTGCCTCGCTGGCAAGGAGGACTGTGTGATCATAAACCATTTCTGTTTTTCTGCATAAGTATACTCTTGGACTTGGTGTGGTCTGTGTGAAGTGGAAAAGTAGATACTTGGAAGCTTTAATGATGTAATTCTGTATCGACATTGTTTTCTTCCAGAAAAGCCTTGACCTGGAAATACTATGCCAAAAAAATCCTTTACTACTTACGGCAGCAGAAAATTTTAAATAATCTTAAGGCTTTCCTTCAGCAGCCTGATGACTATGAATCATACCTTGAAGGTAAGGTTTTAACAAAGACCAGCTAAGTGGGCACCCGGAGCAGTGGAAGGGACGGTCCCCGATGAGAAGGCCGTGCAGGTCCTCTCCCGGGTCCTGGAGGCTGGGTGTGATCGTCTGGGCAGTTTGGAAGGTGCTAGTCGCTGGCGTTGAGGCCAAGGCCTGGTCTTCCCTGAAGCTGCCGCCTCGGTTCGGAGCAGGAGACTGATTTTGAGCTTGTGAGCTGCATCTCCCAAGTCTCCGCTCTGAGCCATCGTCTCCGAGTCGGGAATAAATATGTCGAGTTCTGGCTCCCTGCACCACGGGCGCAGCCCTGAGCCTCTGGTTGAAGTTTAATGAGGACAGAATGTTCCTGCGCGGCAGCGCGCCTGCTTATCCTAATGAGAAGCGAGGGGGAGAGGAGTCAGGTGGACGGGGAAGATGATGGCGGTGACTTTTTGTTCCTGCCACGCTGAATAAGAACAAAATGTAACTTAATTAAAAAAATAAAAAACATGTAAAAGTTCCCCTCGCACAAACACTCCCATAAATTACGGCCGTGCACTACAGATGTGGCTGACACTCGGCTCCCAGGAGTGATGTGTCCACCCTCCAGGCCAGCTCTCCAGCATCGGCCACGCTGCTCTCCTGAGCATCCCCCCTGCCCCTCCCAGCAGCCAGTGCCGGCAGGTCCTGTCTGAAACCCAGGACGGGTTCCCCTCCTCCGTGGGACTCCTGAATGCGGCCTGCTTGTTTTCCTTTTTTTTTTTTTAAGTCTGCCTGCTCTTCAGTGCCCCCCATGACCTGACCATCCTTCTAACTCTGACCCTTGGCCCATCCACCTCCAAAATGTCTCGTTCGCACCAGCCAGGCCGCCGGCCCCAGTGGTACCCTGAAGATGCATCCTACCTGGCCCTGCGTCCCAGTTCCTGGTACCCCTCGTCCTTTGAATTCTGCCTTTGTTCTCCTCGCCCTGCAGAGTTCAGTTGAAAGCCACAGCCAGTAAGTGTGTGTCTCTCACGAGTACAATGCCTGCAGTTTTTACTGCCACCCAAGCATTGATTCGAAAACACTCCTACGTGGTCCCAACCTGTGTGTGCAGATTACTCCTTCCGGGAGTCACCGAGTTTCTCGTGCTCTCTCGTTGCCATCCGTGCATACTCCACATTTTACCTCTGCCTGTGTCAAAGGCTTGTAACATCCAAAAGGGAGTGAAAAATCTTTCTGTTCACTAAACAACAACAAAAAGCCTTTTCCCCACCCTGGAATCCTCTCATCCGCTTATTCAGATCGAGCCATCCTACCTGCAGTTTATTCCACCCTCAAGAACAGTTTGTTAAGGTTTGTTTTCAGTAGCTTGTTTCTGAAACGGGCATCACTTTCATCTTCCAAGTGATTCTACTTTTCAAGTGACCCATCAAAGGTCTTACTATGCTCCAAAGGTGTTAACAGCATTGGGAAGGCATTGGATGTTTGTGAGTAGTTGAGGGGTCGGAAGCCGATTCTGGGGTTTGGTCCTTGATAGACCCCACTGGAACACTCGGGCACCCTGACAGAGGCAGTGGGCTGAGTGAAGTGCCGCGTGAGTTCTTGGCCTGCATGTGGGCGACCTGAGGCCGCGGGGCCTCCGGCCACTTGATGCCCCTCCTCCAACTTGCCCCTCCTGCAGCATAAGAGAGTTACTGTCCCTTAAATCTGAGATCCCCTAAATTTAAAATGACGCTCCAGCCTCCCCAGTGAAAGTGTTTCACAGTCAAATGATCCAGAGCGTTGTTGCTGCTTGCGCATGTGCTCAGGACAGCGAAGGTTGGTGGTAATGTATTCTGACTGCGGGAGTTTTGTTGGGGACCACCCTTGTGGATTCTCGGGGCTTACTCCTGGCTCTGTGCTCGGGGGAGCATCTGCAGCTCAGGGCTTGCCCCTGGGTCAGCCACATACCGGGCAGACACAAAGCTCTCTACGGTCTCTCCAGCCCAAGAGGTTATGTCAGTGGACATCATCTCCCATTTGCTTGGTACATCTTTGTCGCTGTCGGGTTTTTGGAAGTGAGCGCTGGCAAGATGGAATGGGATTAAGAGGCTTGCTTCATCCTTGGGCCCCGGGTTCAAATCTTCAGTCAGTCCTGAGCATAGAGCCAGCTGGAAATAGCCGTGAGAACAGTTGATACAGTTACTCCAAGGACCTTTCACTGACTGGCCCTTCAGAGAGCTGTAGGTCCTTAAGATGGCCCATCTGCTATTGGAGACTTTGTAGCTATTTTGGGTTTTTTTCTTCCCCTTTTAATAAAGGAAATGCTTCACACCATGAGGATTTTTCAGAGTTTTTCGATTTTGAACTATTTAAGAGAATTAGAGAGGGAGACCAGGGACCAGATGAGCTCTCCCTTATAAACTCTTACTTCTCCTGGTAACAGATTAAGGGGACGTACCATGTTGCCCTTGACTCTTTGATTCCATGACCCCAGAGAGGTTTGATATATTTTTTTTAAAAAAGTGTGAATCGTCAGCTCCTCTGTTATGCAACTTTGTGCGGGAACAGCAAGGCCTGGCACCCGGGCCGGGAAGTTTGCCCAGTGGGCTGCAGTGAAGGGCTGTGTCCTGGGGCAAAGGGCAGCCTGGCCTGAGCAGGGAGCAGATTGAAGCTGACGCGTGCCTTGTGTCCTCCCCAGGAGCTGTGTACATTGACCAGTACTGCAATCCTCTCTCCAACATCAGCCTCAAGGACATCCAGGCGCAGATCGACGGCATCGTCGAGCTGGTTTGCAAAACTCTGCGGGGCATCAACAGCCGCCACCCCAGTCTGGCCTTCAAGGCAGGTGTGGCATTGCTCTGGACCCGGCCCTGCGTGCCAGGGGGACGCCTCGCGGAGTTGGCGCACTTGAAACATTCTGCCGCGTGTCCCCCTTCTCTGGCCCCAGCGACGCCCAGGCGTGTGCCTCCCGCCCAGGCAGCGTAGACAGGACTCTAAAGACCCCCGTGTGCACAGTGCTCTGTCTGCTAGACTGACGCCTCCCAGCAGTCCCTGTGCTTGTGTCCTCAGAGTAGATCTCTGTGTTCCAGGTGAATCCTCCATGATCATGGAGATCGAGCTCCAGAGTCAGGTGCTGGACGCCATGAACTACGTCCTGTACGACCAGCTAAAGTTCAAGGGGAATCGGATGGATTATTACAATGCCCTGAACCTGTACATGCACCAGGTGGGTGCCGGGCACATGCGGACAGGGCAGGCACTGAGCTTTCGTCGGGAAGGTGTGAAGACTAGTCGCTCCGTTCACCTCTCCTTATCATCGAAATTCATTCTTGCCTCTGCTGTTTGAGTATTGCTGTGGGTTTCCCTCCATGGAGAGTGGTTTGTCATGAAAAGCCCAAAGATAGATTCCGGACTAGAAATAGGAATTCCTTGGACTTGGTTGAGTCCGTTGGTGTTGTCTGATGGGCACAGGCGTTGTTTCCCCCGTGGCCCCCTTGTCCTGTCTGTTCTGTCACTCTGCAGGCTGCTTGCATTTTCTTTCGTGTCGTTTACACACTTTCCATGAACCTGCCTTACATCCCTCCTGTGAGAAGGGGCCTGGGCGCCTCGGGTCCGCACGCTGTGGAAGGCAGCTGGCACCTTCCTTTGGCTCTCACGGGCCAGTGCTCTGTCCTGATGGCTGGGCTCTGCCATTGTAAAGGGACGGGGCAGACAGCACAGTAGTCGTGAGTGTGGCCACGTTCTAATGGAACTTGGTGTGGAGCCGTGTGAGTTTCCTGTGTCAGGAACTAGTACTCTTTGAAAATGTGTGTGTCTATATATAATGTGTATACACGTATATGTTTAAAAAGAAAGGTCAAGCTCTCCTAAACATAGAGAAACGAGAGGTGGGTGAGTTTGGCCTGTGGAGTTGGCTGCTCCCCGCCGTAAGTGAGGCGGGTACTCAGCCCTGTCCTTCACGGCCCGGCATCATGCAGGCGCTGCAGGTGCCGCTGGCGCAGCTGGGGCTCGTCTCCGAGAAGCTCAGGGACTTTTTATTTTCCTCTAGGTTTTGATCCGCAGAACGGGGATCCCGATCAGCATGTCTCTGCTCTACTTGACAATCGCCCGGCAGTTGGGGGTCCCGCTGGAGCCGGTCAACTTCCCCAGTCACTTCTTACTGCGGTGGTGCCAGGGTGCAGAAGGGTGAGCTGCCAGGGCCCGGGCGCAGAGCGGGCGGGCTGGGCCGACGCAGTGCTCCCCTGTGGCTGCCTCTGACCCAGCAGTTACCTGGGAGTGAGATGACGCCAGCGGGAGGACTTCCAGCGATTGGGTGAATCGTAAAGTCACTTTGTTCCCAGACACATCAAAGCGTTCTCAGTGTTCTTAGAGAAACTTATTTTCCAGACTTCCATCAGCTCCCCCAACCCCCTCTCCCACACAGGAAAGCCCTGCGCAGGGGACAGAGCAGCCAAGTTCTCTGTGTGCAGGAAGGGGTCAGCCTCATCATCTGCCACCAGCCTTTCTGGCAGGGCTGAGGAGCCGGTGTGTACTTTGTGGACCAGGTTAATGAGTTTCGTTGTATTCTCTGAAAACTGGTTTCCTATTAGACATTCAGTGCCTTTTTTTTTTCTTAAAGAAACCAACAAAACTTGTTTTCTAACTTTTACCTGGAAGAACTGGCTGAAAGAATAGAAATGTAACTTCATGAAATGTACCATTTGGAGGGGAAAGAAACAAAGTTACTTTATGTTACCCTGATTTTGAAACTGCTTCCTCATAGCTAGCAGGATACTTTTTGGTGAAATGAGTGTTAGAGTAAAAAGTACCAGAGCTTGGAAGTCAGGCACGGTTCAGCTAGGTTTACACTGCAGCGTCCTCTGGTGCAGTTTCTTCATCTGTGAAATGGGACATGTGTGTGTGTGTGTGTGTGTGTGTGTGTGTGTTTTGGAAGTCAGGGTCAGTTCAAGTGCAGTTTCTTCATCTGTGAAATGGGACGTGTGTGTGTGTGTGTGTGTGTGTGTGTGTGTTGGAAGTCAGGGTCGGTTCAGCTAGCTGCGTCCTCTGATGGGACCTTTGTACGTGTGTGTGAAGTTGCACTGGAGAAGCTGGAGAGATAGTATAGTGGGTATGGCACTTGCCTTGTACCGACCAATCCCCAGGACCCCACATGGTCCCCCAGATAACCACCAGGACTGATGGCTATGCACAGAGCTAGGAGTAAGTCCTAAGCATTGCTGGGTGTGACCCAAGCCCCAAAAAAATAAAAGTTGGAGAAATAAATGAGAATGCCCTGGTAGGATTGGCTGGTGCAGGCATAGAAAACAAAATGTAACTCCTCTCTGAATTTCCCCCTGGCAGTGTATGAAGTGGGAGATGTGTGTGGTGGAGCCTTCCCTGTATTCTCCCTCCCTCTGGGTTAGCCCTTTCTCCCTCTCCCCAGAAAGCTCGAAAGTATTCAATGTCTCCATGCAGATTTTATAGTTTATTGCATATGTATGTTTCCTTAAATAGTATGTACTGGCTCTCCTTGTTTGCTACATATAATTTGTTCCTAAAAATGAATCGGATGGTTTGGGGTTTTGGATAGCAGACATCCATTTTTCATTTTTTTCAAGTGAGAAAAATGATTTACACCCACTTCTCCCTAAATAACCCAACAGATTTCCTCAAACATCTCTAAAATAATTCGTAAATGCCTGTATAATCCATCAAGGAATTTTGCATGCTCGAAAGCATTTCAGACACCAAGTACCATAATATTTACCGTAATAACAAGATGCAGGGCACATTCCTGTGTGGTAGCGATCCGGTTTTCCTTCTTTGATGCCAGTGAACAGACAAGTGTAAGTGAAGAATGCAGTCATTGGTTAGGTCTCCAGGCCCCTGGTGAAGCCCTTGCCCAGTCCTCAGCCTCTCGGCCCTCCACCTGTGCTGAGGGCGCCAGCAGACAGTGTCTTCTCTCCAGCTGCACTGACCATCCTGCTTTTATTGTTGCCTTAATCTCCCTAATAAACAGGCAGGGGAACCATCTCCCAAGGTCTGCACAGTTCTTGGATTTTTGCTTTTCTGTAGCTTTTCTATATCTTGAGAATCAGCCATTCCTCAGTTTCCTGCAAAATCTTTTGTGAACATTGATTAGAAGTAGAGTTTATGTTGAAGTCATAGATCTTAGTTTGTTTGGGGACCACACCTGGCAGTGCTCAGGGGTCCCTCCTGGCTCGCTCAGGGGACCAGAGGAGGTGCCCAGATTGAACTGTGGAGTCCTAGATTTCATGGGAGGAATCTTGTCGGCCCTTCATGCTTGACTGTCTGCCTTCCGACTCGCCCTCCCTGGCCCTGGCTGCTGGTGCTCTTGTGAGTGGTCATTTAGTTATGTCTGTTAGTGATGATGGTATACAGGGAAGGGAGATGGTTGATGATTTGGGTACAGAACTGACAGATCTGATCATTGGTACCTTTAGCATTAATACAAATTACTATGCTAATATTTTTCAGCTCTTGGCTTTTTGTTTGTTTGTTTTTTAATAAAGAATCTCGAGTCTTTCTGGTCCTTTCACGTTTGGCTTTTTCTCTCCTTTTTCTCTTTTTTTCCTCTGTTGTTAAGGCCCCTTGCACAGAGTTGAATGAAACAGTATTAGTAGGTATTTTTGCTTTGACTTTAAATGACATGCTCCCAACTTTGACTATCAGGCATGATGTTTTGGGCCTCTCGTTGAGATATTCCAAACCGCCTTCTGAATTTCTAGTTTGGGGCCCAGAGAGAGGGCAAGGAGGGCGTTTGCCTTGCACACGGCTGACCCTGGTTCTGTCCTCTGCATCCCATAGGGTTCCATAAGCACTGCTGGGTGTGACCCCAGAACCAAAAATAAATAAATTCTTCGTTCACTAAGAGGCATAGCATGCCCCCAACCCCAACCCCCGACTTCTTTTTTATGCCAATCTCTATTTTTGGAGTAGTTTTCTTTCTTCTTTTTGTTCTTGAGGACTAAACTCGGCTCCTCATATGTGGAGAGCATATGCTCTGCTAAGCCCCTATCACCACCCGGGAGTATTTTTTAATAGGGGGGCCATCCCTGTGGCTTTTGGGGGCTCAGGGCCATTCCTGCTGGCAGTGCTCAGACTGGTCATGTAGCCCAGAGGGTTAGCACTCCAGACCCATGCCTGGGGCTGCGATGACCATTCCTGGAGCTTCTGGGTAGGTCATGTTGTGTGGTGGATTGAACAGCCCTTAGATCAGCTTCCTGGCCCCTAAGGTTTTTCGAGTATTCTCCTCTGCTTTCTTGGGTCTCAATCGCGTGAATTTTTAAGAATATATTACTCGGGGCAGGAGTGGTGACAGAGTAGTGGGTAGGGCACTTGGCCTACACGTGGCTGAGTTCAATTCCTGGTTCCCCTTATGGTCCCATGAGCACCACCCGGTGTGACCCAAAAACAGATTAAATGTATAACTGGGAACCGGAGAGCTAGTAAGCAGGTGAGGCTTATGATGACCTTATAATGCAGAGGACCTCGGTTCCATCCCCAGCAAGACAGACACAGTCCCTGAGCATAGCTGAGTGTGGCCCCAAACCAGAACAAACTCCTGTTGTTTGATTTACCAGAGAGCCTGTAAATAGGATTCTCCCGGCCTCATTAAGAGTTGAAGAGCAGTTCTTATTTCCAGAACATATGATATTCTTATATCATTTAAAAAAAAAAAAAGACCATTGCTGTGACTCAAGGGAGAAAGCCGGGCCTTTTGGCAGCCCAGGAGAAAGTTCCACGAATAATTTGCAGTCGCTGTTAAGATCAAAGCAGAAGTTGCTTCAGAAATCCACGTGACCAGGGCTGGGGAGCTGGCTCACATGTTGAGCACAGACTTGCCAGGCCCTGCATCCCATCCCTCACGCTGAGGAGACCTTGGGGGTCCCCAGCGTTCCTTTTCGCTGATGGATTGGCCCAGGCATTCCAGAGAGGCTTCCCTGAACTTCCTGCTGGACCCCCGGCATGGTTTTCACGTCTCCCTCGAGATTCTTAGCAGACGCTATGCATTGTGCCATTCTGTCCACAGATTTCCCTGTGCCGTGTGGTCTGAACACCGTCTAGTGTGGCTCCTTGAAGTAATGGGGGGCCTCGGGGTTGGGGTCACCCCGCGATGCTCAGGGCTTCTTCCTGGCTCTGTGCTCAGGGATCAGCTCCTGGGGTCGTGGGAGTGGGGGGATCCTGTGGGACGCTGGGGTCAGGCAGGCGCCCTCCCCACTGCGCTGTCACTCTGACCCCCACATCCTGTGAGCTCGGGCTACGACCTGGATGGTTTGGGGAGCAGTGTCCCGGTGCGGACGGCGAGGCTCTGACTTGGCCCCCTCTGCGCTCGGGCTAGGGCGACCCTGGACATCTTCGACTACATCTACATCGATGCCTTCGGGAAAGGCAAGCAGCTGACAGTGAAGGAGTGTGAGTACTTGATCGGCCAGCACGTGACCGCCGCCCTGTACGGGGTGGTCAACGTCAAGAAGGTGCTGCAGCGCATGGTGGGCAACCTGCTCAGCCTGGGCAAGCGGTGAGTGCCCCTCGGCCCGCGGGGAACGGGGCCCTGTCCGGGGCCTTCTGGAGACGATCTCCGCTAGCAGGGGTGGCGCAGGGGCGCAGAGGTGAGTCTGGAAGGCAGAGTGTTCCCGCGGGTCTCGGTGTTTCCTCCCCCACTCCCCCCCCCCCCCCCCCAGTCAGACCTTTCTGGGTCCCCCAAGCGCAGAAGGAGCTTCCTCCGAGTCCAGCTCAGGAGAGTGGATGGTTGCACATTGCCGTCAGAGTTCCCTGCCTGCTGGCGGAATTATTAGAATTATTAAAAAAAAAAATAGAATCTTTTTTTTTAACAGTATTTTCAGATTTAGAGCAAGATGGAGCAGAAAGTGGAGTTTTTCCCCACGTGCCCCCTGCCCCCCGGTCCCACAGTCCCCCCTGCCGTGTGGTGTCGGCTGCCATTGATGAGCCTGTGTCCTCACATCGCCCTCCAAAGCCCACAGCTGGCACTCAGGCCAAAGCACCCTCCGCCTCCAGCACGGCCAGGCCCCCCGAGCTGTCCCCGAGCCGGCCGGGCAGTGTCCTCTGTGTGTTGGTCACTGGTGGGTGACACAGTGGACGGAACTTGACTTTCACTTCAGTGCCCCAGTGGGGTACAACGTTTCTATTTCTGGTATGGGGGTAGGTTTTGATGTATGGGTGCACCCAGCCGTGCCCAGGGACTATTCCTGCCTCTGTGCTCAAGAGTGATCCTTGGGGGTACCTGGGGGACCAGATGGGCCGGGATTCAAACCATGGCCGGCTGTGTGCAAGGCGGGTGCCCTGACCTTGTGCCGTCTTTACTTTCTGTAAGTGAAAGTATTGCTGACCGACAGGAAGCTTAGAAATCTGGAGCAGCTGGAAAGATAGTACGGGGGTAGGGTGCTTGCCTTGTACGCCGCTGACCTGGCTCGATGCCTGGTGTCCGTAGGGTCTCCCGAGCCCACCAGGACTGATTCCTGAGCGCAGAGCCAGGAGTGAGCCCCGAGAACCACAGGGTGTGGTCCCAGAACAGCAAGAGCAAGCATCCAGAGCCATGGAACGTGGTCCGGTGTCCGAGAAAGCCTTAGCTGCGGGGCCAGGCGGGTCGGTGACACGGTTCCCTTTCTCCCCCAGGGAGGGCATCGACCAGTCTTACCAGCTCCTCCGAGACTCGCTGGACCTCTACCTGGCCATGTACCCGGACCAGGTGCAGCTGCTGCTCCTCCAGGCCAGACTCTACTTCCACCTGGGGATCTGGCCAGAGAAGGTAATTATTTCACTTTGATGGTTTGCACTTTCTTTAGAGAGGGCTCTCCTAGCTGGAAGGGCGGCATTCACAAATCAACCCATACTAAGGCATGTTCGCTCGGGTTTCTCTCAGTGTTGATCCTGCAGCGAATTTTTTTTGGGGGGGGGTCACATCTGGAGATGCACAGGGGTTCCTCCTGGCTCTACGCTCAGGAATTACTCCTGTTGGTGCTCAGGGGACCATATGGGATGCTGGGAAGCGAACCCGGGTCAGCTGCAGCGAATTTTAACTCCTTCCACTTTAAAAATTTTCTCGGTGCCAGGGATTAAACACAGGACCCTTCATGCGAACAGGTGCTCCAGGGCTGTGCCCGCCCCCTGCCCTCCTGTTTCAGCACAAGCTGGGCCCCTCCTGGTCAGCACTTTGGTGGCCAGCACCACGGGCCCCCACCCTGCCACCCACCCTCTGGCACCCCAGAAACGTGTCACTCCCTTGCCCCTGGTCCCCTCGCAGGCCTCAGCAAGGGGCATCAGAGCAGCCAGCCTCCCCTCCGGACACCTCGAGTCCCTGAGACCTGCCGTGGTCCGCGGCGGGGGGGGGGGGAGTGGGCCTGTGCACGCGGACCTGGCCAGCTGCCGGGCGCTTTAGCAGGGCCCTTCCTGGCTACTGGCTACTGAGATCCTCAAGCGAGTCCTGTGCCCAAACTGGGGGTCAGCTTGACCCAGGGGATCAGCGGCCGCCCTTAGAGGGGTCTGTACTCATGACGAGGCTCCCGGGGCTGACCTGTTCTCAGAGCGACCCAGGCCGCTGCCCGACACCTGTTGGACATGGGGCTTGCCCAGGCCCATGCAGTGGGCTCTGCGTGTCCGTGTCTCGGGCCAAGATGGGCATTTCCTCTGCGGCCGGGCAGCACCACGGTCTGGGCCCACCGTTCTCCCTGCCACCCATGTCTGCATCTCGGTGCCGGTGGTGTCCCCCCGTTTCTGTGGGGGGGATACATGCGAGCCTGTGCTCTGGGCCGGCCCCTGCTGCTCTGTCGACCGGCTTGTGCCTCTTCCTGGTCTCCTGCTTCCTGCTTCTGCCCAGGAGCATTGCCCTGCAGCCCCTCCCCTCAGGCAGGAGCTGATCACCCGGGACAGCCCTGCTGGCCTTGCCCTTCCACCATCACGGTGCTGCTTGCCTTCCAGGGGCGCCCCCGCGTGCTGCTGGGCAGCTGGCCTCCCATGCCGCCCCTCAGGCTCGGGGAGCCAGTGACCCGTTCCTGCCCCACGGCCTCCCTGTGGCCAGCCCACTGGCGCCGTCTTCCCTCGCCCTTCCTGGTCCAGGCTGCGGGTCTGGCACGCCCCATCCTTCCCCGTGACCTTGATCCAGCCTCTCTCTGCTTCCCTCTCCCTCCTGTGCTCTTCACGGGGTCCTTGCTAAGCTCCTTCCCGCCCACACTGCCCGCCTCGATGATGGCCCTCATCTCCCCCTGCCCCTGGGGCACTGCCCGCCGGGAGAGCGTGGCCGCCCGCCGGGCTGGTCACCGGGGCCGCCTGCGGGTCTCCTGCCCTGCACTAGGGCATGCGGGGCCAAGGTGGCAGCTTGGTCCCTTCCCCACTGGCTCTTGCGTCCCCCTGAAGTGTGGTTAGAGGATCCAGAGGACTCTGCAGACCTCAGGAGTGGCGGCGTCATGAGCCGCCAAGCCCTTGACGGTGACATTATGATAGTGACGTTCTCAGCATCTCCATCCAGGAGGCGAGATTGGGTTTTTAAGGAGATGGAATCTCAGATTTCAGCAACGGAGATTTCACGTGTCCATAAGCTCAGGTGTCGTGTCTCGACAGTTAAGGCCATTCTTAGTCACCCTCTGATCAGGGCGCGGATGGGTTCTGGGGTAGGAGGTAGGTCTGACGTTGCTGGGCTGGAGTCCAGGCTGCCTCAGCTGCTATGCGGGGGCTTCTAGTGTCTGGAGCGGGAGAGCGTCTGCAAGCCCCCTGCACAGTGCCCGGGGCTGTGGCGTCGAGTCGCGTGGGTCGCTGGGGACTGGCAGGCGTCTGCCCTCATCCCCGTCTGTTGATGCTGTGTCGGTGCTGGTTTCCTCCTATCCATGAGTGACGGGTTTGCATGGCTCCCTTCCTGTCTCCGGTGTCCAGGCCCCCTTTTCTGAAAGACTCTCAGACCCCCTGAGGATGCTCCGAGTTGGGGCAGGGTGGGGGAGTAGCTCCCACGCTGCGTTCAGCAAATGCCAGCAGTGCGTCCCCTGTCTCCTCCCCATGTGCTTCCCGCGGCCCCCTCGTCAGACCGCAGGCCCGGTCTCGGGTAAGGCTCTGCAGTCACACAGGAGGGCGCGCCGCCCACACACAGCCCTCGGCCCGGCCCGCCTTGCCGCCCTCTGCCAGCTCAGGTAGCTCTAAGACCCGTGCTGCGGGAAAGAAAAGGCCTAAATGAAAATATTATCTCCTAGTCTTTCTGTCTTGTCTTGAAGGTGCTTGACATCCTCCAGCACATCCAGACCCTCGACCCCGGGCAGCACGGGGCGGTGGGCTATCTGGTGCAGCACACTCTAGAGCACATTGAGCGTAAGAAGGAGGAGGTGGGGGTGGAGGTGAAGCTCCGCTCGCACGAGAAGCACCGGGACGTCTGCTACTCCATTGGGCTCGTAATGAAGCACAAGAGGTGAGTGTCCCGGCCGGCCCGCCCCGCCCGCGCGGAGGAGGCCCAGCCCAGCGCAGGAGACCGGACTGGTCGGAAACACCCACGCCTGTCACTTCCTCTCGGTGCCATGCCGTGTCCACCTCCTGGATCACGGCGCTGGACGGGGTTCGCTGGGCGCCAGGTGGGCCAGGCGTGTGGCCCGAGTACTCGGCGGTAGGTAGGAAATGCCCCAGAGCACAAGCGCCTCGAGCGACCCCCCAGCAGGAGCTGTTGCCAGTGTCCACAGTGACTAGGACTAGGAAGTCCTAGTCTGGACTAGGAAGCCCCCGGGTGGGCTCATGAGCACTCCTGCAGGCCTCGGGGGCTCTGCTCGTGTTCACTGGCGGCGAAGCTCCAGGTGCCTTGCCCTTATTTTTTAAATTGACGTTAGCCTTTGTTACTGGTTTGGGTTCTTCTTCATCCCGTCTACCAGCCTTATTTCTGTTTGTTTTTACGTTTGGGGTCACATCCAGCCTAGTGCTCGGGGGCCACGCCTGGCTCTGCCCAGGGGCCCATATTTGGTCCTAGAGATCAACCAGGCGGGTCTCGTGTAAGACGAGCGCCCTGACACCTGTACTGTAACCTCGGCCAGCAGCTAATTTTTCATGGACAGGTAAGTTGCATCTGTCTCTGGAAAGTTTTGGGTGTTTGACTTTTGGGCTCCCCACCCCCCATTTTATTACATTAATTTTGTTGTTATTGTTTGCTTGGTTTGGGGACCCCACCCAGCAGTGCTCAGGGCTTACCCCAGCTCTGCGCTCAGGGATTATTTATGCCTGGTGGGGTTTATATAGCAGGTCTCTATGGGGTGCTGGGGATGGACCCCAGGCTGGCTGTGGGCAGGGCGAGAGCCCTAAACCTGCCCTGCCACCTCTCCGGCCCTCGTTTTTATTTATTCTTATTTTGTTTGCTTTTTGGGTCACACCCGGCAATGCACAGGGGTTCCTCCTGGCTCTGTGCTCAGGAATTACCCCTGGCGGTGCTCAGGGGACCATATGGGATGCTGGGAATCGAACCCGGGTTGGCTGCATGCAAGGCAAACGCCCTCCCCGCTGTGCTATTGCTCCAGCCCCTCGTTTTTATTTTTAACTTCATTTTGGATTCAAAACCTCTCAGCGAGCGCCACGCACAGTGCGCACTTTAGCCCTTTGCACAGTGGGACCCGTCCCCAGGGTCCCTCCCCGCCACTCGGCCTCCCTGGAGGCCAGCGCCACGGGTCACTCCAGCCGCAGCTCAGCCTGGGGAGAGCCCGCCCGCCCCGCTTCGTCCTGTTTCTTCCTGGGTCCAGGCCCTTCGGAGCTGCCCTGCTGACCAGCCTTCGCTCCTGTCGGGCTTTACAGCTGGTACCTTCCCTGCTCGCGTCACAAAGTCATCGTAAAAGCTGTGTGCCTGAACTCGGCCTCAGTCCTGCTAGGAGTGGACTCCGTAGTGGTCAGGCCTGTGTGGGCACGCCCTCTCCCGCCAGCCAGGCCATGGACTGTGGAAAGCGTGTTCTTGCGCTTTCCACCCAGTGAGGTGCTGCTTTGCCCAGAGCCAGGCGGGCCTGGAAAGGGCCGGGTGGGCCCCAGGTGCCCGCAGCAGGAGCCGAGTGCCGCCTCTGTCGTCGTCCCCCCGCGGCCGTGCCGGCCCAGGGCACTGACGGCCACTGCTCTCCTGCCAACAGGTACGGCTATAACTGCGTCATCTACGGCTGGGACCCCACCTGCATGATGGGGCACGAGTGGATCCGGAACATGAACGTCCACAGCCTGCCGCACGGCCACCATCAGCCTTTCTACAACGTCCTGGTGGAGGACGGCTCCTGTCGATACGCAGCCCAGGGTGAGTGTGTGCTGGCGGGCCTGGGTCCGTGCCCTCACGTGTGCTGGGTGTCGGCCACCGCGGTCCCTAGCAGAGCCCCAGGGGCTCCTCGCCGGGGCTCTCCCAGCACTGGGCTCTGGAGACGGGCAGGTGGAACCCGCAGAGCAGGGCCCCCACAGGTGCCTTCAGACTGGCTCCCCCGTGGCCCCCACTTCAGGGATGCACGGAGCCCATGGAGGAGGCACTGCTGTGTCCTCCCGTCCAGCGCAGCGCCTCCAGCCTGGAGGGACGGCGGAACCCGGGGGAGGAGTCTTCCCGCCCCTGACGTTCTCCTTCTTGCATGTGGCCTGTTAAGGGTCTGACAAAAGCAAAAGTCGAAACACACAGCGCACCAGAATCCCAACGTAGTGAAAACCAGGCGCACTGGGGCTGGAGCCATAGCACAGCAGGGAGGGCGTTTGCCTTGAAAAGAAAAGGGGAAAAAAAAGGTGCGCTTTCCCACACATGTCCTGAGCCTGTCAGGGCAGGTGCTGCGGGGCGGGGGGGGGGGGGTGGGGCCAGCACCTGGACAGTGACCTGGACAGCTGCACTCCATGGAAACAGGTGCGCGGGATTTGGAAACTGTTCCGGGTTCGGGGGACAGTGTGGCCCCCCTGCTCACTCGATGGCTGTGTGACAGGCTGTGGGATGGGCAGGGTTCTGGACCCCGCCTGGTGGCCCTGTAGCCCGTCAGTGCCGCTGGATGTTGCGACTCCCCCCGTCGGAGGTGTCTGCTCCGCGCTGGGTCCTTCCGTGTCGGTGGGGCTGGGTTTCCGGGGTTCTGAATCTGGCTGGTGTTGGGGCCGATGCCTTGCTGTCTGCCCTGCCCTGACAGGACGGGAAGTCGGTGTGGAGGTGAGGTCAGAGCTGCTCACGGTGCTGCAAGGCCTGTTGGGATAAGCACAGCTCTGAGTTTTCCAGCCTCTAAAGTGGAGGTTGAACGGGCCACGGCCGTGTTCAGTTCGGGGACGGTCTCGGGGTGCCCCTGCTGGCTTCCCCCAGCGCCGTGCGGCTCCCCGAGGCCTGCTGTGCCCCGGGCACTGAGCTGCTGGGGGCCTCCGTGCCATCCCTGTGTGTCCCTGTCCCTGACACCTGCTCACCTCGGCCCAGGTTCTCTCCCGGCCCTGCCCCCTGCTCCTCGTCCCCCGCGCCCCACCTCCCGGCCTGCACCCCCTCAGCTAGAGGCTCTTCCCAGCATGCCCCTCGCCAGGGTCGTCTCTGCGTCCCTGTCCCGGCCGAAGGTCGCGCGGGCAGTGCAGGCTCTGTTGCTGGCCCTGGCGTCCCCTTGCGCCTGTGGCTGACATGGTGGGTCAGTACCCCCGTCTCCAGCCAGGGCTGCTGTCGCGCCCCTCACGTCTTCCCCACCCTGCCCTCCGCGCTTGGTGGGGCCCACACAGCAGCCGCTGTCCGGCACTGGTGGAGACCACTGGCCGGCTCCCCCAACCCCACTTCGCCCAGCCCGTCCCAAAGCTGTCACAGCTGATGTGGCCCGAGCACAGAGCCCCGCACCCCCGACAGGCCAATGGGCGGTGGCGGCCGGCATCCCGAGGAGGTCACCTGGGATGGCCTGTCCCCCGCCGCCCACCTTAGGTTTGTCCTGCTGGAGCCTGGGTTCCTGCCTGCACCTACTCGGGTCTCCCCACGTGACTGCCCTGATGGGCGCAGGTGGAGCATCCCCCGGGAGGTCCAGCGCTGTGTGTGTCCAGTGACCTTGCAGCCGCAGCCCCGGTCAGGGTCACGCTGGACAGGCCCCCTTTGCAGCCCAGGAACAGGCCTTGGACCCCGTGGCGAGGCCCATCCCGGCTTTGTCTCCACTCCCCTGGTCACTCCCTGCCCCCGTGCATCGCGGGAAGTGCAGGGCGAGGCTTTACCCAGGCCAGCGCCCGCTCTCTTCTCCCCTGCGGCCACCTGCCCCCTCCGCCCTCTCTGAGGCTTTATAATCTGGGCAGTTTTATGCTCAGCTTAACCCATATTTTTCCAGTGGGGAGCTTGGAAGAGGTTAGATCATAAAATTAACGGCTTAAAGATGTTTTTGAGGGGTTGGAGCAATAGCACAGTGGGGAGGGCGATTGCCTTGCACACGGCCGACCCGGGTTCAATCCCTGGCATCCCATATGGTCCCCTGAGGTCTGCCAGGAGTAATTCCTGAGTGTAGAGCCAGGAGGAACCCCTGAGCATCGCCAGGTGTGACCCAGAAAGCAAAAAAAAAAGAAAACTTTCTGAACATTAGTGGGTGAATTTACGTTTGCATCCAGCTGTTCTGGTAACGTCAGGGGCCTGACTTGCCTGCCGTCTGCCTCAGCGACACCAGTTGGTCAGACCGAGCCTGGGGACGCGTGCTTTGGAGCTGTGGCTCTGCACGGAGAGTGGGCGCAGCACAAGCGCACCAGGCAGCCTCAGTCTGTGGGCAGAGTCCAGCAGGCCGCGTCCAGGTCCCCTCTGGGCGTGTGACCGTGTCCTCCCACTAGGGGGCAGCTCTGCCGCTGGTTTGGGTCCTGGCTGGTGAGGGACCAGCTGTACCCTGGCGGGCTGCGATGCAGAGGTCGCCCAGAGGGGCTGTTGGCAAGGGCGCCCTGCCGGGGGCGGCCACCGCTGGAGAGGCCTGTGGGGTCGGGGCGGGGGCCAGGCACTGCACTGCTCAGGTGACCGGGGCGTCCGGGACACTGCAGGGCCCGAGCAGCACCGCATCCTTGGACACCTGCACTGACCCGCAGGCCCATCTGGCCGAGAACCGCTGGGAGGGGCCCCTGGCTGCCCCCAAAGCATCTGCGTAGGTGGGGGTGCTTGGAGAATGTGACGGCCACTCAGAGCAGCCAATGAGGGCCGGACTGGCCTGTCCCTCTCTGCCCACGTGTGCGGCGCCTGTCAGTGAAGTGATGACTGTCGTGGGTCCCTGGGAAACTGCTGGACTTCCGGGGCCCAGACCTATGCTGAGGGGCGTGGGGTGGGCTGGGGGACCCTGCTGCACCTGCCCTCTGGCACCGCTGCCTCTTTCTGCGGCCCTGGGCGTCTCCTCTCCCCCTGCACGGGAAGTGCCTCTCGGCCGGGCTGTGGGGCCTCCGGCAAAAGGGCAGCAGAGGCATCATCTTCCCGTAGCCTCCCCTTGCTGTGGTGGTCCCGGAAGGGTCCTCCTCTCCCTGCCCGGGGCGCAGGGCCCTTCCTCAGGCCAGCGCCAGACCTTGCCTTCCGGGGCCCGCGGACAGGGGTGAGCCCTGCGGGACAGGCCCCCGGACCTCTGACCCTCCCTCCACTTCCACCACCACCCTTGCCCGGTCATCCCCGCCCACGGCCACCATCCCACGGCCCCCCGCGTTGTCGGCCCTGACGGGACTCTCCCTGTGCCTCTCTGCCGACAGAAAACCTGGAGTATAACGTGGAGCCTCAGGAGATCTCCCACCCGGATGTCGGACGCTATTTCTCCGAGTTCACGGGCACTCACTACATCCCCAACGCAGAGCTCGAGATCCGCTACCCCGAGGACCTGGAGTCGGTGTACGAGACGGTGCAGAACATCTACAGTGCCAAGAAAGAGAGCGCAGAGTAGGGCCGGCGCCGCCGCCCCCGCCACTGCCCCCGCACCACCGGGATCGGAGACGCCCGGCCCTGGCACCCACGCCCAGGACAGCCGCGCACGGCAGCGCCGGTCGCCTCGTCCCCCGCGCCCTCCTCCAGCTGCCCAGACAGTGTTGCCCTCCGCCTACACTAGTGACCCCCCGACAGGCACTCTGTTCAGTGGCATGGCTTGTTCGCTTGTCCCGTGGTGACAGTTCGTGACACTCTGTCCTCATGAGGTTCCCAGTCGACGCCCGGACTCTCCTCCCCTCCCCTCCCCTCCCCTCCCGTCCGTCCTCTGTCCGCGCCAGTCGGGGGGCTCGTGTGGTCATGGTCGGTTCTTTCTGGTTTCTCGCTGGCGCGTGCGTGTCCCAAATCAGATGGTCTGTCCCTCCCCCCGAGTCTTGTTGCTTGTGGAGAGGGGATGCCCTCAGTGGCCTGGCCGCCACTCCGCGGAGCCCTGCGCGAAGTCACGTGGCCGGAACCGTCGTTGGCGTGTGTGTCTGTGGCAGCCAGGACAGCGTCCGGGCCTTTGTCTCCGCCGGGACTGGGGGAAGAACGCGGCTTTCCTTCCTCCCTCCGCCGTCCTCTCTCGGAGTATCGCTGCAAATCCTCCGTTTTCTGTCTTACTTCGTAGCCGTCTTTGAGAAAAATGCCGGATGCTGGCCTTGGCGATGGACCTTTCCACTTTCATCTGCTTTTCCTCCCTTTAAAGCGACTTTCAGAGAGAACTGACTCGAGTATCATGAGTAGATGTCGAACCAATGATGGGTTGTCTTTAGTAGTGAGAAGTGCAACCTGATGTTAAGATGTTTGTGCTTAGAAACCGCATTTCATGGTCTCGCTTTCGTAAGAAGAAAATAGCCTGCACAGCTAGCGCCAGGGAACAGGCGGCGCAACGGCGGGCCGCCCTTCCTGCCGAAGAGAGAGGGCCGGGCCGGGCGGGGCGGGGCGGGGTGGGGGGCCTCTCTGACGCTTCCCCACGGCCTCCACCACCCCGGCCCGGCAGCCGGTCTCGCTGCCCACAGAGACGCCCCGCGCCCTCGCTCCCTCTCCGCCACCCCCTCGCTCCTGCAGGTGAGGCTCTGGGGGCCCCGGGCACCCAGGCTCTGTCCAGCGGTCGTTAGCAGCTGGTGTGCCCTTGAGATCGGAGCACTCTCGCGCCCAGCCTGCCCGGGACGGGAGGGGGCCGCCCAGTCTCCGTTCCGGGTGAGCGCCGGGCCGGGCCTGGGGTCCCTGTTCATGAGATTCATTGCTAGGAAACTGTGGAGCATGCTCGGTTAGGACCGTTGGGTTTCTGGTTTGGTTTTCTTTCTCCTTAGACTAACATCGAAGCCAAGAAAGGGTGGCTTTCCCCTTCCCGACCTCGTGTACATATGTACCTAGCCTGTTTTTAATGTCTTTCCTCCTGAATGCTTCATCCGGCTCCAGGAAGCCCGTGTCACCTGTGTACGTTGGTATTTGGGCACTTTATATTTTTCTAAAAACGTGTTTTGGATCCTGTACTCTAATAAATCATAAGTTTCTTTTTAAATTTTTCCAAAAGTTTTCTCCATTTTAAAAAAGCCCTGTTAGAAAAGTAGAACTTTCACGATGTTAAAACACTAAATATTTGGATAGAGTAACTTCTTTTCTCTTCAAATGAATGCCACCGTTTTTTTTGTACAATGATTAATAAATGGAACTTACCCAGAGAAACCACACCACGGGCCTGCCCCGTTTCCTTCCCGAGTCGGGACGCTCCACAGACTCTCAGCAGACTTCGGCGCTCCCGGGCCCCTCGGAGCCCAGTTCTCCCAGGTCTTCTTCACCTCGCAGACTGGCTGCCTGTTTGGCGAGCATGTGAGGTTCTGCATCGCGTGCAGTTTCCCCAGCGTGTGGTGGCTCTGCGTTGTGTGCGGTTTCCCCAACATGCGGTGGTTCTGCACCGCGTGCAGTTCCCCCAGTGCTGTTGAGGGCACAGAGGTGCCCGGTTCTGGGTGAGCCGTGGCCCTGGGCTTGAGCAGACCATCCCAGCGTGGCGGGATGGGCGGGTGCTGAGAGCAGGCCCCGTGCCCGTCGCGAAACCCTTTCTCCCTCACCCACCTGCCAGGGCTCTCCGAACAGACGGCCCAGACAGACCTTGGTTCTGTCGAGCGTGGCTGCCCTGTTCACGGGCCAAGGGTCTCTGGAAACCTCGCCCAGCTCGCCCGAGGCCGAGAGGTTGGCATCAGTGTCTGTGTGCTTAAGCCTCGTGTGAGGCGCCACTGTCCGTTCGTTGGCACAGAGAGGCGGTTTTCTCCGGCGTGAGGCTGCCTGAGGCGGCTGGGCGTTTCCTCATCTTCTTGCTCTCTGCTCAGAGCCTCTTTGTTCTGTGCCACGGGGTGTGGGAGCCACGGCCTCCCGGGCACCACCCCTCCCAGCCCTCAGCTGAGAGTGAGCGGCTCGGTCCCTGCCCCCCTTTCCCGACCTGGGCCGCTCGTGGTCCCAGATATTCCCGGGGTGGGGAGTGTTTTTAGGTGGTGCTCAGGAATCACTCTTGCCCGTGCTGGGGAACCCTGTGGGATGCCGGGATTGAACCCAGAAACCGGGCCAGCCGCATGCAAGGCAACGCCCTCCCTCTGTAGTATTGCTCTGGCCCCGGGTGTTTCTTTGTTCTAGTTGACCAGTGGGTGGATTCTTTTCCCCCTCCGGATAAGCCCGTGTTCTCGTGAACTTGTTTCTCTCTTTCCCTCCCCTCACACTTCTCTAAATTTCTCCCGAGAAAAGTTTTTCACTTCACTAAAACAAATGGCAGCAGAGCAAAACTGGCACGCCAGGGGCTTCGGAGCTGATGGCGCAGTTGCAGGGGCCGAGGGGCGCGTGACGGCGGGAACCGGGCTGACACTGGCCGCATTAGCACCGCGCCCCCCCCCCCAGCTCTCACTGGGCACTTTCCTCTTCTGAAACTCAGGGTGCTGAGGCTCACGGCGGTTCCTCCTATCAGCAAAAGGGGGCGCTGTGGTGACCTTGGCCCCCGGAGCGGGCAGGACGTGGGGGCGGCACTTTGGCCCTGCAGCAAGCCTGGGGAGAGGGGCTTCCAGAAGCCCTGGGGCGCCGCCTCCCGCAGGGCCCCGAGTGAGGAAGCCACCAGCTATCAGCGCCCTGCCACTGTCAGGCTCCCGAGTGCCCTCCCACCGCAGGACGGCTCCCCGGGGCGGTGCCAGGAGCCACCGTGCCAGGCGGCCCGGCGACAGCCAGCACCAGTCACGGCTCGCTCCTGCCCCCGCATTACCTCAGCTCCACGCTCTCCAGCCCCTGAGCCCCACTGCCCGGGGACAGGGCACTGGGTGCCCGCAGGACGCCAAGGTCTCTCTCTGCCTGCCCCACGGGCGCCTGCACCTCTGAACCTCAACACCTTCCCCTGGCCGCATCCTAGGGGACGCAGGCCCTCTTGGACTTGGGAACAGAGAAACGGTTGTGACCCCCGCCCCCCAATTCCCCGGATGTCTCTCACGCCCCTCAGCTGACCCTGCCTGCCTTGGTGGGGCTTCCGCTTCCTGTCCCGAACAAGTGTGGGGGCCAGTCCAAGGCTTGTCTTTGTTTTTAATCAGCTTTTGATTCCTTAGCGCACCTTCTCGGTGCCAGCCAGTACTTGTAGCCAAAGTTCTTTTTCCAGAACATTCCGGTCTGCTCTCTCTCTCCTCCCCTACCCTTGGCCTCTCTCTCCACCCCCACTAATCGGTGACCCCTCACCTCGCTGGTGTCGCTGCCCCTGAGGCCCTCAGCCGCCTCCAGCAGGGCTTTCCCGGAGCTCCGCCCATCTCAGGAAGTCGGGGACTTCTGGCACCTTTGCCGGCCCAAACCCATCCACACTAGCCTGAGTGCCTCTTCCTTGTCGGACTGGCTGGGCGGCCCGAGCAGGACGGCACACACATCTCCGTCTCTCCTGTGGCGACCACCCTGAGGACAGCTCAGCGGAGGACCTGAAGGGCACCGGGTTCCCCCAGCACGGAAGTCTGAGGGACAGGCACCCAGGCTGGGGGAGGGCCCGCGGGACGGGAGCCCGCATGGTCATCCACACCCCTCCAGAAGTCACCCCCAAGAACAATGAAGGACAGGCACCGGCCTGCACGTGGGTTGCCCTGCTTGTCCCCAGCACTGCTGGTCCTTGTCCAGCCCCAATAAACAACTTGAAAATACACTAATCAGGGGCCAGAGCAATAACACAACGGGGAGGGTGTTTGCCTTGCATGCGGTCAACCTGGGTTCGATTCCCAGCATCCCATATTGTCCCCCGAGCATTGCCAGGAGTAATTCCTGAGTGCATGAGCCAGGAGTAACCCCTGTGCACCGCCGGGTGTGACCCAAAAAGAAAAAAAAATAAACATCTTTAAAAAAAAAACCACTAATCCGGGGCCGGAGCAATAGCATGGCGGGGAGGGCGTTTGCTTTGCACACAGCCGACCTGGGTTCAATCCCTGGCACCCCATAGGGTCCCCCGAGAAATGCCAGGAGTGATTCCTGATGGCAGAGCCAGGAGGAATCCCTAAGCATCACCGGTGTAACCGTCTTCCCCCCAGAAAACAAGCCCAAAAAATAAAATACACTATCACCTGCGACTCAAGAGAGGCATCTTTGCTCTTGGAAGATTTTAGGAAAAGAGCCACGAGGAGTCACAGGAGGGACACGCCAGCCCACCGTGCACTCGCGGCCACTCGTGTGCCATATCCGCCCCCCCCCCCCCGCCCACCACCACCACCTGCCCACCAGCAGCGCCAGAGCCGCAAGGGTATAGCAGCAGCTGCTCCTTCCCGATTCTCCCTCGGGGTCATGAAGTCGCTGGTGTTCTCGTAGGAAGCCCCACTTCCTGTTGGGCCACGCAGAAACATCAAAGACGGCACCGGCGCATTTTCTGGGAAGTTGTGGAGAGCTCGGCGAATGAGGCGTGGTCTTCGGAAGCCAAGGGGTCGGGTCTTGGGCATGGGGGTGGGGGCGGACTGGGCACTAACAGCCTGGCTGGCGCTCCTGCCTGTCTTAGCGGGGGCACGAGGCTGGGTGGGAACTTTGTTCTTTCATTTGCCAAGTTTGGGGGTTTGCTCTTTGCAGAATTGGTTTCTGTTTGGGGCCACACCCGGCAATATTGCTCAGGGTTCACTCCTGGCTCTGCACTCAGGGATCGTTCACGGCAATGCACAGGGGACAAGATGGGAGGCCGTGTGCAAAGCAAACACCCTCCCCACCGTACTCTCGCTCCCCCCTTGTAGATTATTTTCTATTCTCCCTGCCACCCCCAGTAGATAGACTATTTTTTTTAATTGAGGGCTGGAGCAACAGCACAGTGGGTAGGGCGTTTGCCTTGCACATGGCCAACCCGGGTTCGATTCCTTCATCCCTCTCTGAGAACTCGGCAAGCTACCGAGAGTATCCTGCCCACACAACAGAGCCTGGCGAGCTCCCCGTGGCATATTCGATATGCCAAAAACAGTAACCACAAGTCTCGCAGTGGAGATGTTACTGGTGCCCGCTCAAGCAAATCCATGAGTGCTGCAGTGCTACAGAGGTGGCTTCATAGAACACGACTGTTCTCTAGTTCTTGAGCATTTAAGGAACATTTAAGGAAGTGGAAGACCCGTGTCTGCAGCTTGCCTCCTAACAGACAGAGGGCTGGTCTTTTCCGTGTTTAGTGTTTGCGGCCCGCGGCTTGATCCTGCCTGGCACACACAGGAATCCTTTGCCCTACCCTCCCAGCCCCCTCCCCGCCCTGCCCCCGTGTGACGGAGAGGCATGTCTGTCACACCATTTTGTCTCCATCGCACTGGGGCTGGGACCCGCATAGGGCTGTCAGCAGAGTCGAGGGGTGGTCACTCTGGGGAGCTGGACAGCCACCGATCGCCGCCGCCCTTTGGGAACGCTCCGCTGAACACCTGTCAGCGAGGGGCGTCTGCACGGGGCCGTGCTAGTAGGGGACCCCTGCCCAGGGTACAGCTCAGCGGGGTGCGTGTCCTAGGGGTTGGGTGCCCCACCCCGTCTCAGGCTTCCCCGCATCCCTCCTCCTCCCCTCCGAGCACCATCTGCCCCGTGACCTCTGGTTCCTCTGGGCTCAGTGGTCCCCTGGGAGCTGGTGCAGCGTGTCAGGTGTGGAGCAGTGCCCTGGAGGGCCTGGTGGGTGCTCCCTGGGGCACAGGTGAACCCAGTGTGATGCCCAGCACCCCAGCTCAGGACCAGGAACCCGACCTCTGCAGCATCTTCCAGTTGAGGCCGCTGCAGCCTTCTGGGCCCGGGGGACCATGCAGGGCTGCCCCGGGGGGCCCAGGCTCTGTCCTGCCAGCTGGGGCACAGTCAGGCCAGACACTCGCCGCACCCTCCCTGGCCCCTGAGCTCCCCTGGCAGTGATGTTCTGTCTTCCGGGTGACTCAAGCAGCCTCTGTCCCGGGTTGTGCGACTCCGAGCCAGCGGCTCCCGTCCGGGCTGGAGCACCCGTCTCGTGCCCCCCCCCCCCCCACCCCAGCTCCCTCTCAAGCCTGTGCCCACGCGCTCTGCGGCCCAGGACCACAGCAGCTTGCCCAGTCCAGGCCACCATCACC